GCAGCACGCTCGCGCACCCTTCCGACTTTGGGCGCGGAGGGTGATGATATGGTCAGTGGCGAATGCAGATCTCAATGGGTTTCGCCAAGCGGCCTACGCCTCGTCTCGCTTAGCCAGCATTTCTCGCGAGCGCGTGGACGAGCGGGCGCTGGCTGTCCATCAACGGCAACCCATTGCCACCCATGGCTCACCCCACGCACAGCTCGGCCGAACGGCGGAGCCAGTTGGAGAGGAGGAGCGCGCGCAGGCGGCATCGGCTCTGATGAGCTTCAACCCATTGCCGCAGGATCGCGTCGATAACCTTCTCACCAGGTTCGACATCTTCCGCAACAGGGCGCCGCAGGCCAGTCAATCCATGATCGGCTGCGAGGGCCTGAGTTGCCTCCGGCTGCGCGCGGCAGGCGCGTCGAACATCCAGCCCAACATGATCCTGCCGCACGACATGGCCCACCCGACGGACGCGCCACAGCTGGCACACATGATGGGCAATTTTTCTTCGAAGGCTAAAAAGGCTGGAAAAGTTCGATGGCCACGCATGATGGGCACCGCAGACTTCTGGCGCATGATCGAAGGCTCGCAGGGCAATATTGCCCTGGCCGCGCAAGCGTTCACGGGCACGCCGGCGCGCGATCAGGATCAGAGCGCCGATTGCACAGGAGCAGAATCGAGCTGGGATGGCATGGCCCTTCAGCCCCAGGAGCAGCACCGAGCCCACCTCAAGCACAGATGCTGGCTGCCCACACCGACACAGCCCCAGCACTTCAGGCGGCACGTCCACCAGCAGGTTTCGCCTCTGACACCGACTCCAACACCATCCGCCCATCCGGCAGAGAAATCGCTGCCGATGACCCCGAACTGCAAGAAGTTTCTGTGGAACGGCGCGGCGCCCCCCTCCTCGGGGCCCACGAGCGCGCCAGGCCCAGACGGCGCCGCTCCAACAACAACAAACCCACATACCGCGCGCGGGGGGCCATCAAGCGCACAGGCAAGGGCCGCGGAATCGGCGACCGCGCCTTCCTGGCCGACTTGTCCGACAACAACCCCCGCGAAACTTTCGCCGGTTTCGGGCAGGGCGGGCGCAGCGCAGGAAGCAGACGCAGGACTAGCGGGCTGGGATTTGGCCGACAAAGCAAAGAACTGGGCCCAGACGGGACACGTTTCAAGCGCCACGAGTGCGATTCGGAGGAGCACCTCGCGCGCGAATGCCCCCGTCGGCGCCAGCAAGGGCGCACCTTACTCCTCAACACCCCAGCCTCAGCAGCAGCACCACCACCGACGCCAGCATCTTCACTACTCACGCACCTGGGACACCACGGAGCGCCTGGACCAGCCGCCCAACAACCAGCACCAGGTGCTTCTTCGGTCTTGATGACCGGGAACTCACGTGGTGCCCGAACCCGTGGTACTGGGACCCGCCAACTGTGACCCTGCGCAGGAAGCCGATCCCTGGAACGGCGGCCAGCCGACTCCAGCTTCGGCAGCTACGCGGCCAGCACTAACGCCAGCATCAACAGCAGCAGCTCTTAGCGCTGCGTCTGACGGCTCCTGGCTGCAGGCCAGAGCCATTGGTCGAGCTGGGCGGGCACTTCATCGCCCTCATCGGCTTCGCCCAACCCTCATGAGGCAGATTTTCGGCGACTTCGCCGGGAAAATGGACGACCTCATGGGCCGCGCACATCAGAACTCTGCTCCACCGATCGGGCGATCACGTTGCCAGCCCGCGCGGCAGGAGTGAGGAACGAAGCAGCTACAGCACCCGCAGCTCCAGCAGCATCCTCAGCACCAGCACCACCGACTCCGCAGCGCTGGGCCAGAGTGGCCGATGCTTTCCGGCTGGGCCCACAGCAAGGGCGCGACTGGGCAAGCAACATCAATGCCCGAGCCGCTGCGCCAGTTACCCCACTTGCCGACGCGCAGTTGCCGACACGCCTCCAGCACCAGCACTCGGCACCAGTACACGATACGGATCGAGCTCCACGTGGCCACCACAGTCCGCACAGGTAGTCGCGTCACCACCGATGCCGGAGTTTCCTAACGATCTAGCTTGCTTTAAACCAGCACGTCCCCACTGACGTAAGCCAGCCATCTAGGAGAGTGGCCACGTGGTTCGCTGGCCGCGACACCTGGATGTCCAGCGACGCACGATCCGAACGCGGGGTGGGCCCCACACTGGACCACACCCAGCGACGACGTTTCGACGAGTTCCCCCCTCCTCCCTCCTCCTCCCTCCCTTCACTTCCCTCCCTCCTCCCTCCCCCTTCCTCCCCAGTCTTCCCTCCTCCCTCCTCCCCTTCCTCCCCCCCTCCCTCCTCCCTCCTCCTCCTCCTCCTCCTCCTGCACCCACACGTCCGCCCCCCTCCGCGCACGCCGCCGCGGCGCCGCGCGCCCGCTGCGGCGCCGCGCACCCGGCGCGGCTTCCGCCCCGCGCCGCAGGCTCGGCGCCCTCGTCCCCGCCGGCCTCGGGCTCGCGCGCCGGGCCGCGGCGGCGCCGGCCGCGGAG